ATTTCTTCTTTTTCCCTCTGTTTCAAACATTTGTTTTCTGACATTGATTGTTGTATAGATCTTAGAGGTGTACTTTCTGTGACTGAGAATGGAAGAAGTTGTGCAATCCAAAGCAAGCCATGGAGTCCCATCGTTGTGCAATCCAAATCAAGGTGTTTTTTTCCTTCCGAACATCCTGTTTGGCTTTCAAGTTCTTCTTTACTCTGTTTGATACGTCTTTGATGGAAGAAAAGTTAATATATCAATGTGATCATGCACAAGCATTACTGGTTAATGCTGGAGGGAACATAGTGGTCTCATAGTTAACTTTTCTAAAGAATATCGGAATAAGCAATGGGAAATTTTTAGTCTTGGAGGAGAATGTGGAAAAGCATATATTGTTGTGCTTTATTTACACCAATAGGAGAAGAGATAGCCCTCACTTGATTAGGGAACTGGTCTCAAGCTTTACACCAGTAGATAACCATTTACCAGTAATGCTCTAAACCATATACTGTCCGGTCTGTGTCCTCGTTTTAGCCAACTATTTATAGAGATGGTTGCCCTTTTCAAGCACTGTTATCTTTACTTAATAATCTGCACTTCCTGGTTAATGAACAACCAATTCCGCATTCTCTACATATTATGACCAGCTAGTTGGCGGCTATATGTAGGAACTCTGAAGTTTTGTGCAAGGCTGCAACAAATTTATCTGGAGATCTTCCCGGTAGCACTTCTAAAAGGATGAGCCAGTACGAGAGAATAATTGAAACTTTGACAACTTTATTTCCTGTGTGGGTAGGTATTACATTTCATTACTAAAATATATCAACCTTATAAACAATTTGAAACTGTTATCCGGTTTCTCATTTTCAGTACTTCTTAATTGCTTACTTCTGTGTTTATTTTAAACAAAGCTTTCTCAAGGAACACTTTCACATTCTAAATCTAATTCCATGGACAGGTCATATTGGGCACCATCCTGGGGATCTACAAGCCATCTGCTGTAATATTTCTTTGCCTGCTACTTCAATATGTGGCATATCAACTAGTGTATAACTAGCTTATTGTTGGGGTTCCTGCAGGTAACTTGGTTGGAGACAGACCTTTTCACACTTGGACTGGGTTTCCTCATGCTTTCTATGGGATTGACGTTGACCTTCGAGGATTTTAGACGATGTTTACGTAATCCTTGGACTGTGAGTAACATCCACTCAAATTTAAGTCGTCGGACACTTTCGAAAACAGAATGATCTATTATTAAATGGTATTAAATTTTTTTTATTGCAGGTGGGTGTAGGATTTCTTGCACAGTACATGATAAAACCTCTGCTAGGCTTTGTCATTGCCCTGGTATTTCATCTTCAAAATTTTTGTGGTCTGTCGTGTAATTTACTATTGAAATATATTAATTTCTTATAGAATTTGTCCATTACCATTCAAGTTCATGATAACAGAATTAGAAAAGCAGGTTTTACACATACATAAAATATTTGCTCAATTCAGACTTGAACAAAAAAGCTCATGTTTACCGCCCATCCATATTCGAAGATCCTCTCTTGTATTACCAAATAAAGGGCAGGTTGACTGGATAAGTTTATGGATAACCACATGCCTTTTAATAGTGTTTGGATGCAATGGTAGTATTGACTAAACATATATGTTATCTAAGATTTCCTCTTTAATTTTCAGACGCTAAAACTTTCTGCACCTATTGCGACTGGTCTTATCTTGGTCTCATGCTGTCCTGGTGGTCAGGCGTCAAATGTTGCAACTTATATATCTAAAGGAAATGTTGCACTTTCTGTTCTCATGACAACGTAAGTCACATGCACTCAAATGCAAATTAAAATCAGAGAACTATATTCAGCATGTTTAGAACATAAGGTTAATTCAAGGCAGTTAGGATTTTCTGTCCCAAATATATGCTACCTTGGAAATGCGATTGCATACTATCTATAATGGTAATGACTGTTACCGAAGTTTATATTATAAAACAAAAAACAAGAGTCTTTACTACATCTTAATGTGAATATTTTGTGGAATTTTGTAGGTGTTCAACAATAGGAGCTATTATTATGACACCGCTTCTTACCAAGCTTCTTGCTGGCCAGCTTGTTCCAGTTGATGCTGCGGTAAGTTCAAACATGATTGACTGATGTAGGACAACATGAACAGATAGGAAAAAAATAAAGAGATCCGGACTCACTTCGCCTTTGGCATTGCACCGAAAGTGTCCAATAGAGGAATTAGAAAAAATTTGGCATCACACCGAAGGTGCCTTGGAATCACTCCACGTCAACTCGCGCCTCACCCACAAGTTGGAGTTGAAAATAACTGTTTTTCTTTCACTAACTCTGATTTATAAAGCTTACAAAATAGCCCCTTTTATAGGGTAATTGGTATATGAATCTTGAAAGATCCACATTAATACACTTAGGAATCCAAAAGACATAATTTTGACACCTAATACATTAATCATGTGACGTTGATATCTTGTATTACCATTTATGACAGTGATATTTTCTCCCACCATCTTTGCAGGGCCTAGCAATCAGCACTTTCCAGGTTGTTTTAATGCCAACAATTGTTGGAGGTAGCTTGAATATTTTATAGTTACCATCAGAATCTGAAAATCAATTATCGCAAACCACAGCTTATTTCCAATATCTGGACTTACATTCATAATCAAAACTCTGCTCCCTGCTTTATGTGACAGTACTGGCAAATGAGTTCTACCCCAAGGTCACTTCAAAATTAGCCTCAGTGACTCCTTTAATTGGAGTAATTCTCACCACTCTACTCTGTGCTAGCCCGGTAAGTCACAAAATATTAACTGAGTTGACTATTCCATATTGATAGCTTTTGTGATTTCATGAAGTTACATTGCATCTAATGGGGTAACTTGAATTCTTACATTTTTTAAGATAGGGCAAGTTTCTGAAGTCTTGAAAACACAAGGAGCACAACTAATACTCCCGGTGGCTTTTCTACATGGTGCTGCATTTGCTATTGGTTATTTTGTTTCAAAAATATCATTTGGTGAATCTACTTCTCGTACCATATCCATAGAGTGTGGGATGCAGGTAAACAACTTCTCAGTTAGTATTTCCGTACTGATTTTACACGGAGTTTGTCAAGGTTGAACAAGTTCATCTGATCTCTGACGTCTTGCAAATCATGAATTCCATTTGTATACTGAACTTTTACTGGAAGTGTTAATCTTGACAAACCTGAAATTGTTAGATAAACTAAAGTAGCCTCTAATTTACGTTCCTGATAATTTGATTTGCAGAGCTCAGCACTTGGGTTTTTACTTGCTCAAAAGCATTTTACAAACCCTCTTGTAGCTGTCCCTTCTGCTGTTAGTGTTGTTTGCATGGCGGTATGACTCTCTTAAAATCTCCTTTTTCTTTCTTAGCTATCCTTTGAGTTAACCCAAGTACAATCTAATTTGCTGTCATAATTGTCTTCCTAACAGCTTGGTGGGAGTGCTCTTGCTGTTTTTTGGAGAAACACACCAATTCCAGTTGATGACAAGGATGATTTCAAAGAATAATTGGAGAAATCATGGCCTTCTTTTTTGTCTTTTTTTTTGGTAAAATTCTTTTTTGTCTTGGTACCCTTTCTGTCTATAATAATTGCTTGTTAGAGAGAGATGGTTAACTTTTTTATATTAGGCTAGGAAGTCATATTTACATCCAGACCCAAAAAAGAAAAGAAAAGAAGAAGTCATATTTGCATCAGACATCAGTTTTATGTGAATGGAAAAGCTTTGGATTGAGGTACAAAAAGGTACACAGGAATCTCCTTGTTCTAGAAAATGGCCTTACAGGAGGCACATTGGAGGAGGTGCCTCTATTCAACCTTCTGTTTTATGGCAAATTTTGTACACAACTAGGGTTTTTTGGTTATCAGTTTTGGGATTAGGCATGATCTTGTTTCAGGGAATTAGAATTGAACATTATTCTATTCTTTTGGCATTAGCACCAGCTAATGATGCTCTTGATTTAATCACCTTGATTAACAAAATGAACGAATAAAGGGTCTTCAATCATAACATTAAATAAGAGACTTGGTGGCTTAAAAAAGATAAAGACTTGGAATTTTCCCAACCACCTTTCTCTGACTTTCTGTGACTTTGCAGCAAACTGCAAAGCCTGTCGAACTTTTTTTATTCTGGCACCAATAAAGACAATTTGGCAGTAAATAATATCAAGCAATCCGTGATGTGATATGCAGACTTTAGAAAGCCATAAAATGAAAAAGAGATTGTCACGCCAAACTTATTCTGATCTATTTTGACCTCTTTATGCGTCCTACGACCGTAGAAAAAAATCGTTACCAAACAAACAAAGCTGCATTGGAAAAAAAATACGTCATTTGCTTATAGTCTGCCAATAACCAATCAATATAAAATGAAAGCAAAAAAAAGTCCAAGTGTTATGTTAATATTTGTTATGCACAATTCTCCTTTTATAACAGTATTAAACATTGTTGATAAAGATCACTTCTATAAAGAATTACTTTTTCATATAATAATTTTGAGTGATTTGATAGAGAAGCATATGAGAGGTGAATCGCCTCAAAAGTGATTCTAATCAATCTAGAATAACTCCCAAAAAAGCCCAAACGATAGATATGCTTTGACATTTGAGAAATATACAGAGAATGGTAAAGTAACTAGATAAAATTTAAATAGTTGTGATAATTTATTTTAATAAGAAATGCTCACTTAATTCGTTTTTTATTCGTTTATGTTTAAAGCTAAGATAAGGAGAATAAACATACATTGTATTAAAGTAATACATCAAGATAAAACAACTTAATTATAGAAAAGGAAACCATTTACATTACAGATTAGAGATGTAGATAGGAAAGATTTAATTTTAAAAATGCATGCATTACTTGCTAACCAAGTTATTTAAAGCTTGGCAAAGAAAAAAAAAATAAGAAAATTTTTTTAAGAAAAAATAAATATAAGTGAATGCCAACCATCTTATGCACCGGTTGCGTGACATTTTAGAATTGAAGAGTGAGAAGAAGAACGAGCACTACGCCTGCCAAAAACAAAAGAAGAAAAAACCTCATAAAAATAATCAAAAGGAAAGTGAAAAGAAAAAAAGAGAAAAAGAAAAAGGAAAAAAGAGCAAGGAAAACAAAAACCACAAAAATGAAAAATATTATTTTAGCATTGAATTGAGGAGGTTATCGTCTTCAACTTTCAAGTAGAGTGAAGGAGAAAACCAAACACAAACTTCCATCTGCTTCCGAAGAGCAGAAGACAGGACCCTGAGCATTTTAACACAATTTCTCCGACATTCGACTTCGTTATCTGCTAAGTGTCGAAGGCTTCGGATTTACTTACAAATTGCTCTTGCTGTTAATCTCAGAATCATGTCTCAGAGTCAGACCAATTGGGAAGCTGATAAAATGTAAGTATTGTTTACTTCGTTTTGTTTCTTTTAACGTTACTTTGTGACTGAAATTTCCTGCCTTTTCTTCGTTTTGCTGTTGTCATGGTAGTAGCCACTTGGACTTTGGGGATTTTTAGTGAGCTTTTGGTTCTAGGGTTCTTTCTTCAGTGTTCAGTTTTGGTGGGTACTGTTGTTTTTGTTATCTTTGTTATCTTTGTTCAAACGGGTATTTCTTCAGTGTTCAATTTTCTGCCTTTTCTTCGTTTTAATTATTTCTTTTAAAGAATAACATCCAAGCTTATTGACGCTGGGTAAGTTGTTTCCTTTGCTGTTGGCTTGTGCAAAATTTGTGTCTTTTTTGGGGGCCCGATTTGGTCTCTCTGGTTTGGGTTTTTGTGACCTTATTCTGTAATGGGTGCTTTGCTTTTTACATGTTTTTGGAAGGCTCTGTTGCTGTTGAGATATCTTCCATATTTTCGTATATTAATATATTCATGCTTCTTGTTGTTGTCTGGCTTTGGGTTTTCTTTCCTTTCTTCTCCCTTTTATTTTTCCAAGCTTTGCTTGTGACGTTTGTTTGGTTGGATTGAGGGTTGAGATGGGGTGTTGTTGATTTGGATGAATCTTTGTATCTGCAGTTGTCTCATATTTTTTTCCTGCTCCAGAAAAAGAACAGGAAAAGAGGAAAGAAATTTAGGGCAAGTTTGATAACCATTTCAGTTTTAGTTTTTAGTTTTCATTTTTTGTGCTAGAGTATAGAGGAAAATGAGAGTGAGAATGGGAGTGAGGATGAGATGGAGAAAGAGGATGAGAGGGGAGAGGGGAGATGGGAAGGAGGAGTAACAAAATTGAAAACAATTTCAAATAGATTTCGGTTTTTTGTTTTTGTTTTCACTTTTGTTACTCCTCCCTCACAGCCTCCTCTCTCATCCTCATTCTTTTCCCTCTATACTCTAGCACAAAAAATGAAAACTAAAAACTAAAATTGAAATGGTTTTCAAACGGGCCCTTAATATTTTCATTCATTTTCTTGGCATTGGATTGGTGGATTAGCATCGTATCAGATTTTATGTTTTTGCATTGTGGACCTTCTTCCAATGTTAATTTTCAGAAAATTCTCGGAAGTTAAAGTTCTTTGGATTCCTGGCATGTGGAAGTTTTATAATTTGTTTGGATCACAGGTTGGATGTGTATATATATGATTACCTTATGAAGAGAAAATTACATGCTTCTGCAAAGGCATTTCAAGATGAAGGAAAAGTGTCTACAGATCCTGTAGGTAAGTATATATGCCAAAGAAAAGAGATTCACTGCATACTGCGAATTGTATATCTGAATTTATTTACATTTCTTTGATTTTACTCTTGCTCCAGCTATTGATGCACCTGGTGGCTTTCTTTTCGAATGGTGGTCTGTCTTTTGGGACATATTTATTGCTAGGACGAATGAGAAGCACTCAGAAGCAGCTGCATCTTACATTGAGGTGTGGACTTATATTGGACTTCAACCGTGGCTCTGACGTTTTTTCTTTCAATTCATAAATATAGATGGAATTGTTTGGGCTTCTCTCTATTTGAAATGTTTCACTGTTTGTCTGGATGTGTTAGACTCAAGTGATGAAGGCTAGGGAGCTGCAGCAGCAACATCAGCAGCAGAAGCCTCAGCCGCAACAGCAAATGCAAATGCAAATGCAGCAGCAATTGTTACAGAGGCATGCTCAGCAGCAACAACAGCAGCAGCAGCAGCAACAACAACAACAACAGCAGCAGCAGCAGCAGCAGCAGCAGCAGCAGCAGCAACAGCAGCGTCGAGATGGGACCCAGCTTCTAAATGGCACTGCCAATGGGCTTGTTGGCAATGATTCTCTTTTGAGGCAGAACCCTGCAACTGCTAATTCAATGGCAACAAAAATGTATGAGGAGAGATTAAAGCTTCCAATACAGAGGGATGGTTTGGATGATGCAGCTATCAAGGTAATAAGTTTTGCCATAGATTCAAAGAAGTTCTTTATATTTTAGATTCCTTTCATCTATTCATCAACTCACAATACGTACACCATGCAGCAAAGATTAGGTGATAATATGAGTCAGCTTCTGGATTCCAATCATGCCTCATTGTTGAAAGCCGCCACTACAGGTGGCCAGCCTCCTCGGTATTTCTCTTGAAGATTCCATAATTATCATTACTAGGCATTGTGGTGTAACACATGCTCTTTGTGTGCAATTGATGCTTAATATGAAAGTGGTTGAACTCCTTCCTGACAGTCAAATGCTGCATGGTACACCTGGAAGTATGTTGGGGAATCTTCAACAAGCTCACAACCGGAGTCAGCAACTTCCTGGTTCAACACAGGTGATTATCATCAGCGATCTGTTTCATACTTCATCTTTTATCCATACAATTTGATTTTTCTTATTTTGGGTATCCTTTGCATGATGAAACAGGAAATAAAGACTGAGATGATAAACCCCAGAGCTGCTGCTCCAGAAGGATCATTGATTGGCGCTCATGGTATTGATTAATATTGTGTTTTTTTTTTCCTGTATGGGGAATTTCTGGGTGGGTTTTGGGTGTGAAACTTGAACAGATAAATAAGAAAATTGTAAAAGTTTGAAAGCTCTTTGAATTTATTTCTGGTATCAATTTATCTCCTATGAATGATTCATATGTTCATTTCAGGATCAAATCAAGGCGGTAACAATTTGACTCTGAAAGGATGGCCTTTAACGGTAGAACTGAATACCCAGTGTTGATATTACTTTTGCATCCCCCCTCCACTTGATATAATTCTAATTTATGTTTTCTGTTTGGTGTTTGGGCTATTCTGTGGCCAATAGCTAACTATAGTGTTAAGTCAAACAGAAAATGGAGTACTTGATGGGTGAAATTTTTAGAGGAAATGCTATATTCTTAAGGCATTGAATTAAGAATACCATACAACTAGAGGTTAAGGATGATTAACAATTAATCTTCTTCTTTTAGATATACATACTCTCTCTCTCTCTCTCTCTCTCTCTCTCTCTCATTTTATGTTTTTACTAAAAATTTGTAACACCACTTGAGAAACATTTTTTCTGTTTCATGCAAGATTTTATGACCTATTATTAGAGAAGTCTGGTTGTATATTGGCATCCTGTTGTTGAAGGAAAACTGAAATAACTTTAAGATAATTATTTCACCTTAAAATGATGAGGGTAATATCTTGAAATGGAAACTTGTTCAAGTTGGTTGTATAAAGTGTGCTAAGCAATATTTGATGCCACATTCCATTGGCATTACTGATAAGAAGACAACATGATTTTAAATGTAGGCAAAGAAACGAAGAGCATTTTTTGCAATTAACCATGCTGCCAAAGATGAAACTGGCTTGTTAGCATCTGCATTTTTTAGTTTATAGTTTCTTTTCTGATAACATCTCACCTTTTTAGGGATTTGATCGATTTCGATCTGGGATTCTTCAGCAGCAAACTTCTTTGATGCAGTCCCCTCAACCCTTCAATCAACTTCAGCTACAGCAGCAACTTATGCTTGCACAACAAAATCTGGCTTCCCCATCTGCTGACTTGGACAGTAGAAGGCTGAGAATGCTTCTCAACAATCAAAATATGGGTCTCGGGAAGGATGGTCAACTAAATTCTGTTGACGTATCTAACGTTGGATCACCAGTGCAAGTTGGTTGCCCGGTATTACCTCGTGCAGATGCCGATATGATTATGAAGGTATCATTTCTTCTTCTACATCTGGATTTAAGAAAACTCATCGTTTTAGCTAGTATCATAGGATCTTGTGAACTTTAAGCTTCCCATATATATTTGCTTATATGAGTAGCCAACTTATCAGTTACAGCAACAGCAGATGCAAAGCAACAATCAACAGCAGCAACAGTATTCGCAGCATACGCTTTCAAGTCAACAATCTCAGAGTTCAAGCCAACACCTACAGCAGCAAGAAAAAATTATTGGTTCTGGTGGCATTGTGGCAGATGGTAGCATGGCTAACACCTTACAAGGGAATGATCAGGTTTTCTATTACTGGCTATCGGATTCAAACTTTATGAAGCTATATGTCCTTTTTATTATCTCTTTCTTCTTTTTTTCCAACTTGATCTTGCAGCAAAGTGTTTTACAAATATATCCACATGTCCTGGAGATTTTTGCATATCCTAATTTTTACAAATCCTAAACTATTGATACATGATGTATGCTTTTTTCACATTTGATATTTCACATTCGTTACTTTTCCACCCTATATAACTTGTATTATAATATTAAAACTTGAATTTCATCATATTTTCAGAGTCAATTGTCTTTAGTCTTTATTTTCGCTGTGAACTTGATCAGTGTTGAAAATTGTTATATCTGGGTTGCTTTTCTCATTTCGCTTTCCTGGTTTAAGGCTTCAAAGAATCAAATTGGGCGAAAGAGAAAGCAGCCAGTGTCATCTTCAGGTCCTGCCAATAGCTCAGGGACTGTTAATACCACAGGACCATCTCCCAGTTCACCTTCAACGCCTTCTACCCACACACCAGGAGATGTAATGTCTATGCCAACTTTATCCCATAATGGTGGTTCCTCGAAGTCTCTACTTATGTTTGGCTCTGATGGTTTGGGCTCACTTGCATCAGCGCAAAATAAATTGGTTAGAAACTTATCATTGTTATATCTAACTTCTTTGTATTGATTGCATTTAAGGTGACTTAATTTGGAGTCACAATCTGTAACATTTCACTAATGAGTGCATCAAACTTGATTCGTATTTTGCTTTAGTGGGTTCAATTGATTTCCTATCTTTTCCATCCATAAAAAATGTGCCATTGCTGAGAAGGAAAAGAACAGAGTTTACCTCAAGGGGTTAGAAAGGTGCAATGTTTCCGTATTTTCTTACTATGTCCCTCCTCCTCTTAGCAACTTAAATGGTACGGACTACAGTGTGCTTGAGTTACCAAATGTGGATAATTCATTGGAGGAGAAATGTTAACCAAATTTCCACTTTTCTCCATGTTGCTATGTCCTGAATTTGTATCCTCCCAAGTCACTTGTAGTGGGTAGATTATGCTTTTAGGCTTGCCTCATATGTGATTTTCATATTAAGGTTAGTGTGCTCTTTGTGATAAAGCACGAAGTGTTTACTTGTGAGGGATTGTTCCTAGAACTCCATTGGCAGTCAGTAACTAAGCTATGTATTGCAGACTGATGTGGACCGTTTTGTGGATGATGGATCTTTAGAGGATAATGTTGAATCATTCTTATCACATGATGATGCTGACCCTAGAGGTAGAGTTGCTCGCTGTTCAGATGTCAGCAAAGGTATGAAGAATGCAAACATCTGACATTGATAAACTTTGTTAATTATGTCGCGAGATGTATATGGCTTGGTCTTATATTATACTAGAAATATAGCAAAAGGCTTTTAACATTTTCTTGATGAAATTAGGCTTCACTTTTACGGAAGTTCAGCTTATTCCTGCAAGTACAAGTAAAGTTGAATGCTGTCACTTCTCCTCAGATGGAAAATCACTTGCCACTGGTGGGCATGACCGAAAGGTAAGCCTAGGAAGATTGAATTTTTCATATAGGCTCCGTGCATGACCAACTTATATTACTATCTACTTTTAAAAAAAGGAAAAGTGCTGCGAATATGAATGATGGAAGTTTTGATACTGTTTCAGTTAATCTTATGGCGTATAGAAACACAAAGTAGTCATGATTACTTGATTATTTTATGGTGCAGGCTGTATTGTGGTGTACTGAGTCCTATACTATAAAGTCTACACTTGAAGAGCATTCTCAATGGATAACCGATGTTCGTTTTAGTCCTAGCATGTCAAGGCTTGCTACATCTTCTGCTGACAAAACTGTCAGGGTTTGGGATGCTGATAATGTTAGTCAATGTGTTTTTTGTTTTTCCCTCAATGCTACATGTTATTTTTGACTGACGTTTCATTTTTAATCTTCAAATTTATACATTACTACTGAACTGTCATCACTAAATTACTGAATCCTCGATTCTTATTTCATCTATGTAATGAATGCATAAAAAAATGTTGCGCAGCCTGGATATTCACTTCGTACTTTTGTGGGGCATTCTACAACTGTTATGTCAGTGGACTTCCACCCTAGTAAAGAGGACCTTCTCTGCTCTTGTGATAACAACAGTGAGATACGATACTGGAGTATCAAGAATGGTAGTTGTGCTGGAGTTTTCAAGGTATAAAACATGGTGTTAATTTGTCTATACTATATAGGGAATACTAGAATTCTGTTTCTCCGTTTAGTAAATCCTTTGGCATTTGATAATATTACCTATATTTTTCAGGGTGGTGCAACTCAGATGAGGTTTCAACCCCGTGCTGGAAGAAACCTTGCAACTGCAGCTGATAATTCTGTATCCATCCTTGATGTCGAGACGCAAGCTTGCATGCGTAAATTACAGGTTTCTTCTGAACTTCCCATTACTTCTTAACATTTGTAGTATTAATATATTTTTAACTTTATTTAGGAATGGGCACTAGTTGTGTCCACATTTGGGCTTGAATGAAGTGTTTATCAGTAAGAGCCCACTAATACATGTTTACTTTGATGTGATTCATGTGCTGTTGTTCATCATGAATGCTTTCTGATTTATATCTTGTGTTATTCATTGTAGGGCCATAAGAACCTTGTCCATTCTGTGTGCTGGGATCCTTCTGGTGACTTTCTAGCATCAGTGAGTGATGACTTGGTTAGAGTGTGGTCAGTTGGCTCCAGCGTCAGAGGGGAATGCATTCATGAATTGAGCTGTTCTGGCAACAAATTTAATACATGTGTTTTCCATCCAACTTGTCCTTCATTGTTGGTCATTGGCTGTTATGAGGTTAGCTATACTGCTCTACTTCTCTTTACATTAAAGATGAACTTGTTACCCGGTGACTTGCACTTGTTGAATATGCTTAGTGAGGTTTAGTTTTTGATATGAAATGGTGGGATTTCAGACTTTGGAGCTTTGGAACATGACCGAGAACAAGACAATGACTCTGCATGCTCATGACAAGCTAGTATCTTCTTTGGCGGTATCAGATGCTACCGGGTTGGTTGCTTCCGCTAGCCATGACAAGTGCGTCAAGCTCTGGAAGTGACAAATTTGTATCGTTTTATCTTGAAAATGGTTTACCTTCTCCATTACCACATCCCAAAGGAGACAGCAACTTTATCTGGTTATCTTTTTAGCGTATGGTAAAAGGGTTTTAGATTTTAACCCAGCCCCAGTTAACCCATAGAAGAATTTTGTTGGACCAAAACCAAGGCCAACCAGCCTAACTTTGATGTCAAACTTGATCTAAAGGATCTCTTTCAACTCACAGGGGCTTATAATGTAAATGATATTTTGTTAGACGAAACGTAAATGAAGGCAGTCTTAAAGATAGCCGAATGTTTTATTTTATCTAATCAACCATTTCATTTTACAAATTACATGTACAATCAGCCAAACCAAAGATGAGTTGAAATCAAAGATGAATGCTAGCTAGTTGGCTTGTATTTCTCCTCCATCATTCCGGATGAGTTCAAGCGCCTTGTTGAAGTGCGTTGCCTTGTAACCAAGGTACTCCCTCCAAGTTACTGGATGATAGAGAGGTGGATGATCGTGATCAATCAATTTCGTCAACGGTGATATCTTCACATCCCATGGCGGGCCGTAGAAGTATGCGATCGAGATGCGATGGTGCACTTTGTTGACAATGGCACGATGGACTGCACTCTTGAAACGTCCGTTGGATAGTATGTGCATTAAATCCCCGACGTTGACAACAAGCGCACCGGCAGTTGGGTACACCGGCGCCCACAAAACCCCATCCACAAGGACTTGCAGGCCGCCTGTAGTGGTCTGGTATAGCAAAGTGAGCAATGAGGAGTCTGTGTGAGGGGCTAGGCCCATGGCCCGGGTTGGGTCTGGGCAGACTGGGTATGAGTTGAGTTGAAGCAAGGACCGAGGATGTCTGAGCCATTTGGCATCTTCATTGTTCAAGCCCAATGATCGAAGCATGAGCTCTATCAGTTTTGCAGCAAGTCCCTTCATCTCCTTTTGGTACTCCTCCATTACATTACTGCAACACCACCAGATCAGGATATGGATTTGGTTTAATAAGTAGGATACAGATATACCGATAAATACGTTGTTTTCAATCTGAACCATTAATTAAGTACATCAAGTACATTGAGATTCCGACAAATATATGTGGACAAATATAGGATTAAGATTGAGACAACAATCATATTTACCACCATTTTCTATTTGTAGCTTTGGTTATTGGTTTCTCTTCGGCGGTTGTGGTCTTGCATTGATGGCGTCGCTTGTGGGTTTTGAGTGGTGTAGCATTTCCCTGTTCTTTATCTTAGGGTTTTCCAAATCTGTGTTGTGTTTTATAGACTTAATGTCTTTCCTAAGTTTAATGACTATAATGGATTCTATGCCTTTCTATGTTGAGTTTAATTGAACTCATTTTTTAAATTCACGTTGATGTTGACTTCGGTCTTCAAATCATCAAAAACAACCACCATATTTACTTGTCATGCGTATCCAAAGCAAACATACATAACTTTCTAAGGAAGTTAAAAAAAAAATAGAAAAAGAAGAAAGTGTTTAAGCACAAACCCAAACATATAAATATAAGAATACTTTAATTTTATTGGGTTGGGTTGGGTTGGTGATTCATGAGCGAAAAAGGACTACGTGAAGTGATGGACAAAACATACCATATGGATCATGAACCAGTACAAACTCGCGTATTGGAAGCTAAGTTTCTAGACCACCCTTATCCCGCCACGTGACGTCCCGAAGCCTGGCCTTTCATTCATCGATCATAACGAACATGATCTAATTACTAACATATCCTTTGAGACATTTTAAAAAAATAAATTGACAAGCTTATCACATTTTTATATCACATTGTGTATCCCATTGTAATGGTGGATTTTACTTTTATTAGAGAGATGATACACACAATATGATATGAAAATAAAAAAATGATGCACAACGTGATATAAAAATGTGGAAAATCTAGCATTACTCTTACATAAAAATAAAAAAAAAACACTAAACTGACAAGCAGTAGATGCATTATTTTATTTATTTATTTGTCTGTGGCACGTACCAGAAGTTGGCGTGGTGACGTGGCCAAAGCTGGCTAGCATGTTCCAGCGGAGACCCCATCATCGAGAAACCCTCCGACCACATCAGCTTGGGGAAGTTGTCAGAAATGCGGGCCGACCCGTACCCGGTGAAGCCATCGGGCGAGCGGAGGACCCGGAGTTTTTGGTCTCTGGGGAGGGCGAAGAGTCGATGGGTTTGGAGTTGAGTTTGTTTGATGAGGTTCATGGGAACGCCATGGTTGGTGACTTGGAACACACCCCATTTCTCAGAGGCAAGGCGGACCAGAGGGGTGGCATTCGGGTCGGATAGGTCGATGACGGGTACGGAGTCGGGGAACGGGTGGTGATCGGAGGAGGATGGAGCCCAAGTGTGGGAGTTGGGTAAGGTGACGAGGGATTTGAAGTCGAGAGGGATGAGGTGGTGGGAAGAGACAGAGAGGTGGATGTTCATGGTAATTATTTTGTGGGTTTGTTGTTGAGAATGAGAACCCTTTAGAACTGTGTTGAGATAATGGGTGTGGCATGTAAGTTACATGTAGATGCATGTAGGGCAAGTGTTGCAACTGCAGCTACAATCTACTTTTCTATTGCATTTCTTGACCCTATATATGTATCTGTCTGTCATTATGTGAAAGTCGGTTTCAGAATTGAATGGGGAGGGAAACCCAGCACTTCATTTTATCAGTTCAGTTCCCATTCTTCCTTTTTCCCTTTCTGGGCTTCTCCTTTTTTCTTCTTATCCCTCTCTTAGAGAAAATGTATCTAAATAGTATGTTGTACTTATGAGGCATGCCTTGTGTATATAGAGAAATCATAGGCCCAGGAGCCATGCCTTGCGTTGTGCTCTTAAAAACTATATTGGATCAAACAAATGAGCCACTGGCCCACGAAGATCTTGTACTTTTAAATGATTTGGATTCTCGGGTGTAAATGCTCCAGCTCTTTGCTCGCGGAGCTTCATGGCAATCGAAAGAGAGAAGAAGAAGAAAGGCTCGAAGGGTTTGGGGCAAAGTGCTGTTAGCTTTCAAACACGTGTCAATATTTTTCATGGAAACTACACGTAAATAAAAAGGTAAAAACGACATGATCTATTTTGTACAGATTCACGAATTGGCCCCAAGTCTGTTGTCTACTTGTAATTCGAAAGTATTGGCAAATTGCCAATTTGGTCCTTTAGTAGTGGAGGACCCATTTTGTTTGAAATTTACAGCACTAGGACCTTTCTGTCTTTTAACTCCATAGAGATATTAGAGAAATCAAAATCTTAGAACCAAAACAAAAAGGACACACACAATGGCTGCACTGCCCAATAGTTTATTCACCAAGTAGAAGGTATGTTCACATACCAAAAATATGCAACTTTACAACATGTTTAAGTTTTGTAAAGTTCAACCCAAAAAAAAAAAAGAAAATACTGAAAGCATGTAATTTGTTTACACATAAAAGTAAAAATAAAAAGCCCAGCTAGCAACTAGCTGTTATCTGCACTCGATCTAAAACAAACAAATAATTTGATCCTATATTATATATCTATATATAATCATGTACCTATACACTTCAACATTGTTTCTTCATGAACTGAGAAGCTGATATACTTGTCACACCATGCAATGATCCCATAACTGAAGCAATGGGGTATAGAAATCTGCCTTGTCATCTCCTCTGGAAGTTCAAGGATTTTATTGCAAAGGCAAAGATAATGGAAAAAAAACACTGAAGCAATAGGGTATAGAAATCTGCCTTGTCATCTCCTCTGGAAGTTGAAGGATTTTATTGCAAAGGCAAAGATAATGGAAAAAAACACGCAGAAACCGACCACCATAATGCCGGCTATACCCAGAAAATCATGCCTGTACCCAAACCCTTCTTTGAGTAACTGCCTTACTTGCATTGTATGAGTTCCATCTGCCAGCTTCAAAAGACTATCATCGTCGCCGTATTGCGAAACAAAGAGGCCATACAGACTCCAGGACACAGGATTTGCCCAGTAATACCATCTCCACCATATTGGAATTCTCTGAACAAGTGCAACAAGTTATTGTGTTAGAGAATATTCTTAACAAGTTATTATAAGAATATGTTATCTGATAAAGTACACATGAGATTGAGCAATGAAAGCAGCCACTTCCATTACCTTGTGAGGAATCATAAAGCCGCTGAACAGGTTCCATAGCATATAAAATGGAGCAGCAATTATAGAGGCCACATTATGATTTGGTGTGACAGCTGTCGTCATCATGCCGTATAAGGTGAAGTATAGCATTGTGAAATACATAAAGAATATATACCAAGCGAACTTCAAAGTAGTCCACTCAAATGAAGCCGTAGAGTAGAAAATTGCACAGTATATAATTGCTTGTGCAAACACATAAGGGAGCTCTATCACGACCTGCATGCATGATCAATGCGTTAGATAAATTTAAGGGATACCAGGGTAATATTGTGCGATTCAAAGAGTGGGCGTAGCGTAGTAAAGGCGAACCTGAGCAAATGCAAATGGTAAAGCTGAGTACATCCCAGCAGCTCTCTCTCGATACGAGACGAATCGTTCTATAGAAACAACAGGTTGAACAGCAGTGGCATTGGTGATTCCACTAAATAGGATTGCTGCGTACATGGATCCCATGGCATTTAGTAAATCCTGCTGGGTTCCCCTGCAAAGGGAAAAGAAATCCTGTCATATAGAAACCCAATGGCACATATTGACATCTAGAGATAAGGGCTGAAAGAATATAATACATCAAGATGATTAGTTCCATTACAGAGTTATCATAAATCACAAGATTAAGAAAAAAGAGGAAACCTCTTAGCACCAAATCTCCAACAAATTGTTCCTAGCATCAATGAGATGATGACAGTGTAAAAGAAGCGAACTGCAGTGTACTGAGGATTTCGCCAATAAGACAGATTTTGCTTCCAAAGACAAGTGAGAAATTGTTCGAAAAATGTCTGAGAGTACTTGGTTGGAAAGTTTAGTTCTTTAGAATTGGTACTTGGCTTGCTCAGGCTTTCAACCAACTCTTTGTTACGCCTGACACAAAGGAAGATGGTTGTTAGATCAAGAAGCATATAGTTATGTACAAAAGCAGCACAGTCAGAATTCATTAAGTTTTCATACTGAAACAAGTTAGATCTTCGGTAAACTTCCGCAAAATCCACCCCCAGGCGACTTTCTTCAACTGAAGAAGTAACATCAAGCATCCATGCAGCAGGATTATATCCAGGCCTGATCTTTGGCACTCCTTCGACTGCCTGCAGAAAGAAATATTCTCATGTTAAGCTGACAGTCATGAACATTACCCAAAGTCACATGTTCTGAAATATATACTGGCATGGCATGCATGATCTGACCTCAAAGTACTTGATGAGTTCACAAGAATTAAGACCAAGTGGACCAGCATATATGAGCTCTCCTCCACGCTTCAAAAATAGAAGCTGCAACACATATGAGATTATAGCAGGATCAATCAAGATAATAAAGCAATATAGAAATGCTCTGCCAAATATGACTGAGCTGTTTTACACTCTGGTGATAGTAGGATCAATCAAGATGCATGTCTTTGCATCTCCATCTCACCCATTCTTATCATATCTAAAAATTGGAAGAAAAAAACACGTCTTCATGTACATACCTTGTTAGAAAATTGGTTATCTATACATAGGAAGATAGTTTAGGTGGATATACACATATATATAGGGTACATTATATCATTATGTATTATATATATATATAGAGAGAGAGAGAGAGAGAGAGAGAGAGAGAGAGAGAGAGAGAGTACCTCATCAAAGGATTCAAAGATGTCTATGCTAGGCTGGTGGATTGTGCACACTATAGTACGTCCAGTATTGACAATATTCCTCACAGTCCTCATCACAATAGCTGCAGACCGTGCATCCAACCCTGATGTGGGCTCATCCATGAATACTATAGATGGGTTGGCAACCAGCTCGACAGCTATTGTTAGCCTTTTTCGTTGTTCTGTTGACAAACCATCTACCCCCGGTAGACCAACCAATGCCCCACTTAATGGAGTGAGCTCCACAAGTTCCATCACCTCCTCTACAAAAGCCTGAATGATTTTTAAATCTTTTAGATGATAGAATTTTTTTTATTTTTTTATGAAGACGTACAAAAACATTAAATAATTTTATGTGAATACCCTCTGTGTCCCCAAATCAACATCTGATGGTAACCGAAGCCAAACAGAGAAGAGAAGTGATTCCAGAACAGTCAAGCAGGGGGAATGAATATCAGTCTGCTCACAGTAACCAGAAATTCTTGCAAAAGTTTCTTGTCTTTTTGGATAACCAGATATATGAATGCTCCCTTCTATGACGCCACCAGTTTTTCGACCAGCTAATACATCCATGAGGGTAGTTTTCCCCGCACCACTTACTCCAACCAATGCTGTAAGCACCCCAGGCCTAAATGCTCCAGTGACATTAACCAACAACTGCAATCTTTCTTCTTGAATGCCCTGCTGCTTCAATTCCTGCGGTGGTACTTGGATCAGAAAAAATATATAGTTAACATGTTTCCCAGAATGGATGGTGCAAGTGAATAGTGTTAAAGACTCACCAGAGGGACATCCACGTAGTATTTGATATTGCTGAAAGACATGGAAAGTGGTTGAAATGGGAGGACCATTCCTCTCTGCTTAAAATATTTTCCTGCGTAGAAGATAAGAAAGAATTTTGGAACTTCAACTGGTCTGTAGTTAATTAAAAAGAATTGTACTAAAACAAACTCAATATCCAAATTATTTTTCAAACCATTTAATGACTCTGAATGCTGCAAGTACTGTCTCAGCTCAATAACAACTTTTTGTCCTTTTCTTCTCCTTTCTCTCTCTTGAAGCTCTTCCTTAGAGACTACAGCTTGCTGCTTCCCCAACGCTGATGCATATATCAAAAATAAACTCAATAAGCTTTCTTTCTTTAAATTTGTATGGCTACATGCAGCAATAGAAGGAAAATGAAAATTAGTTTGTTTTTATGAGCAGAAATGACTTACGGTTAAGGTAAGCGAGGAAGAATGTGAATAGAATGTTGAACAAAACTGTATATCCAAGCAAAGCACCAGCACCAATCCAATACCAGTAGCTCTCGGGAAACAAGCTGCGTGCTCTCAGCAATGCCTCACCTAATGGAAAGCTGGTGTGGCTTCCAATTCTCTACATAAATAACAGGAAAAAACAGAATTAGAAGTTTCAGAGTAGAATCCTAGACAATAACTTAATAAATAGGTATGGTGAAGTAAATCTTCTTATTGGCTCTTCCCTATACAGTGTGCAATTAAAAATTAATGTGATTTAGCAAAATAATGTTTAACACTATTTTTCCATCAAACATAATGTCCTCTTGGAGGATGCCAATGGTTTACTTGAAAATTCACAAAAAAGGAAATAAAATCCAAGTCTATTATCAAAGATAACATATCCACTATTATTATCAAAGGCATTAGAATTCTTAAACGTAATTTATGGTTATTTCTAGTTAGTAAAAACTACAATACCCCTACCTTGACTAGCATAATAAATCCATAATTGCTATAATCCGTAAAGCAAACTTGAACAGATAATGAATTGGAATGTTACCTTATCCCA